TTCTAAAACACATTTTTTTTCTGAGAAAACGTGTCACATCTATCGCTAAGTTTATTAGTTACGCGTTCCTTTTTATCCATAAAAAAAAAAAAAAATTCACCATGCCCAACCTTTTCTCCATTTTTTTCTCAATCTTTCTCATTTCTTCTTCCTTCCCATTCTTTACATTGTTAGGTTTTTTTTTCCTTTCGAGTATTTTTTTCATTACAAAAAGGACTTTCCCTTACTGTATAAATTTTATTTTTTTCGATTACCTCCTATCGTCATTATTTTATTATTTTCGATTTCCATCTGGAGAATTCGATGGAATAATGCGACTTACACGGGGTCCGATCTCTTCGAACGTTATTGTATATGTCGCTGGAAGTGTTTTTGAAGGCGGTGGGTGGTTCTTAAATTCGAAGAATTGCAATCTTGATCGGGAGTAGTGGTAGGAGGGATAATATTGGATATGAGGGACGATTTAAGGATGCGGGTTTTGTTCGAACATGTCTTTGATTCTTTTTGCTGACGTTCATAAGGGTTAGACCAAAGTTATCTTTTTCTTTCGTAGACGAGAGTCTGTTGTATGCAAAGGTTATTTAATTCCTCTTTATTTTTCTTTCCCTTTTTTTATTCGATTTATCAACCCATTTAAATTCCAACTACGTGTTATTTGTAGTCCCTTAACAAAATATTATAATTTTAATTAATTGTATTAAATCAATTATATTGATCTATAAAATCTTATCTATTAAACCTTATCACAAAATTTGTCACGAGTATCTTGTGTTTATTATAGTACTCATTGTGTTCATTTATATATATATGTTTTAATTATTATAATTATTTAATTATTCAATTAATAATTTCATATATTTGTAATTGTATACATTCTTGGATCACTAGTTTTGTATCTGAAAGATCTCAAATTGTTAAATTTAACAATTCATTTTCAAGGGAAGTTAATGTTACTTCTGGTGTTCCACAAGGCTCCCATCTTGGTCCTCTTCTTTTCATTCTTTTTGTAAATGATATTTTTAATAATTTTCCTAATTCTAAATTTCTTCTCTATGCTGATAACCTGAAGATCTATAAATGTATTAGCGGTTTTGATTCTTCTCAGCTCTTGCAAGATGATCTTAATAGACTTTATAATGGGTGTCTCAGCAATAATTTGTCTCTTAATTTGTCTAAATGCCATGTTGTTCACTTCAATCGTAAGAAACAAAAAATTCTCAAGCATGTAAATATTTTATTAACTCTTTTGAGTTATCWTCAGTTGASTTTATTAGTGATCTTGGCATTATTTTCTCTTCTAATCTTTCTTTTAAATTACATTATAATAATATTATCTCTCGTAGCTTTCATACTTTGGGACTTATATTTAGAATGTCTAAGCACTTTAAGAGTTCGAATACATTAAGAATTCTTTATTGTCAACTTGTTCGGCCTATTTTGGAATATGGAAGTATTATTTGGTCTCCTTATAACATCACTCATAGTTATGACATTGAGAGAGTACAACATAAATTTTTGAGACTTGCTGCCAAGCATTGTGGCCATCCTATGCCTTTTGATTGTCATAATTATGATTTTATTCTTGACCGTATGAACTTATCTACGTTAAGTAAACGAAGGATGATCGCTGATATCATTTTTGTTTGTAAAACTGCTCATGGTCTCATTAATTGTTCAGATATTGTCAATATCTTTTCCCTTAATGTCCCAATGAAAAACTTAAGAAGTCTTGAACTATTGCATATTCTACCTCATAATACTTCCTGTTGCTACTATAGCTCTTTTAATAGAATGTTTTTCAATGTGAATCGTTATTGTAATCATATTGATATCTTTTCTCAATCTATTTCTATTGTAAGAAATATTCTCAAACGTACGTTGTAATCTTATTTTGTATACTCTTT